GCCGGGCGACCTCAGCAGGACCTTCATCACTTCCCGCGCGTTCTGCATCAGGCCGCTCATCGTGCACGCACTGCGAGCCTCCGGCTCCCACGCACACCCCGACCTCGGACGAGACGTTCCCTGGAGCCAAGGGCAGCGCGGGGGGCAGGGGCCCCGCCCGCTGCGCTGTGGGCCGAACGCGCAGGCGCGTTGTGTCCACAATGCCGCGGGCCTCGGAGAGCCGAGCGCGTTTCCGGCCGGACTGCTGACTCGGAGCACCGGCGCGTCGGGCGCCTGCGCAGAGCGCGCACGGACGACCGGTGGCGCGAGTGATGGAGCGGGAGGACCGCGTGGTAGCGGCGCCGGACGAGGGGGAACCCGAGGGGAAGAGGCGGCGGCTTCTGTGCGAGGACTTCGCCTCGGTGGCGCGCTGCGACGCCGGCGTGGCCCAGTGCTACCTGGCCGAGAACGACTGGGAGATGGAAGTACGCTCGGCCGCCTCCGCCCCGCGCCTCGCCGTGCCGCGGCGCCCCCGCTGCAGCCTGTGCCTTTGCCTTTCAGAGAGCGCTGCACTCCTACTTCGAGCCGCCGGTGGAGGAGAGCGCCGAGGAGGGCCGCCCCGGGGAGGCGTCGCCGCCCGCGGCCTGGTGAGCGGGCGGCCTGGTGAGCGGGCGGCCGGGGCGGGCGGCCGGGGCGGGCGGCCGGAGCTACCTCCCTACTTACTTATTTACTTACTTACTTATTTTTTTGGTTCTGGGGATTGGGCGCGGGCGCACTCGACCACTGAGCCACGTCCCAGCCCTCTGTCGTATTTCACCTAGAGGCAGGGTCTCCCCGAGTTGAGGCTGGCTTTGAACTCGCCATCCTCCTGCCTCCGCCTCCCGAGCCGCCGGGGTGACGGGCCAGCGCCGCATCCCTGTTGAGAGACTGCGGCCGCCTGTTACCCGCTGTCCGCAGGCTCGGCCAACGGGCCTGCGCCGCTGCGCCTGGCTCTGACAGTGGAATTGTACGAAATTTGAAAGGAATGAGGTTAGATCCTCTTTCAAAAAAATGGTGACTTGCCAGGTGTAGTGATGCACACCTGGAATCCCAGCAGCTCGGGAGGCCGAGGCCAGGATCGCCAGTTCAAAGCCAGCCTCA